ATATATATATATTATGGCACCAGATGGCCGGAAATGGTACCGTACTCTCAGACTTAAAGTTGAATATAATTTTATGTTTGTTCTCATTTTTTTTCCAATGATCAAAAATTGACGGTTAGGGAAGCGGGGACAGCTGCCTCCTTGAATCCGCCTACGTGAGCAATGCAATAATTAATATATTAATAAACGATACTCATAACACAAACAGACGGATGAATGTATTTCGTTAAAAAATCATGATGAAGGTGTCAGAGTGATGAGCCTCTTGCAGAGAATACATTCGGAAATCATTAATCCCAAAGATTGTGTGCTTTCTAATGTGTCTTATGACAGTAAGGTCACTTGCGTGATTTTTAAGAATTATAAAATTGACGGATCTCCTCCCTTGACCTTTAAAGAAGGAAATGTTCTCACACTCATTCCTAATTGTTCCGTCATTGCACCGTTTAGTGTCAGTTTCCATTTTCCGCATCATGTTAGCCATGATTCTCTTTATTAGCTATGAAAGTGCTGCTACCTTTACTCATTCCATGGCTAGGCCTATCTACCTTCATTTAAACCAGGGAGAAGTGATCTGTAAACCTGTTATATTATATAACACTAAAACAAAACAGGAAAAGGAGGCGCCTTCAGAACTATTATCAGATGCTTTTTAAAAACAATGCGTCTAGACAGTTTCAAGGACGATTTCAAAGACCCGACCCAAACCCCTCCCCACTTAACCCATTCTGAGTTAACATGCCAGGCTCCACCAGAACGGTGTTAGTACTGGCATGGTAACTCAAAAAGGGCCCTATCGTGCAAAAGATGCATAGTCACTAACGTTCGGTCATAAGAGCCTTGACAGTAATCGTGTGTGATTTTCTGCCCCACCCCCCCCCCCAGAAATTATCTTAACACCTTTCCAAGTGTTGAATCATGCCACTACTTTTGCGTGAAAAAGAGTGATAGTGATGGCAGGTGGAGAATCACAACACGTCATACATCGAATGCTTTGTTTAACAATTTAAAAAAAATAAATAAAAACCAGTAAAATTTTGCCCAGGCTCAGTTTTCACATTGTTTGCCAATTTCAAGCTCTGTTCCTATTTTGTTTTTATTTTAGACTGTTTTCAAAGAAAAAAAAATTATAATAGTACAAAAGTAAATGTACTATAATCATAGATAGAGGGTATAGTCACACCTACTGTACAGCACATAAGGTACAGATAAGACCAAACGCAGTACAGTAACCTTTTAAACATTCTTTATATAGCTTGATTTGTTGGTTTTTCCATTTTTTCCCTTTTTTTTAAAATAAAAATCAAATTTGACATTTTAACTCAGCCTCATTTTGTTCTTATGTTCTTATTTTTAATGCAATTTCAGCCTTGCTCAGTCCAGTGATATTTGGCAACAGTTTAAGCTATGAACTTGACCACTTATTTAATTGGGCAGTCGGGCCTTTATTTAATATCTGCATCAGAGTAGAGGTAGCCATTATAGAAATCATTAAAATTAATTTTTAATAATCTCATTTTCATGATTCATTTTCATAATTCATTTTCATACATTCTCGTGATTTTATTTAAAGAGAGATTTTAAATAGGCCTAGAGGTACTTGTTCATTCTTATTACTGGCTCCGTTTTATTCTATTTGGGGATCTTTTTGGTCCGCGCGAAGCGCTGACCCAGAGCCTCACTGCTGTTCTTGTTACCAAAACTTTAACAACTTTAAAAGCGTCCAGCGTCGCCAGTTTTGTACACAATTTTGTAAACATAAAGTAGAGGTGATTTCCAACAAACGTTCATCGCCCTTTTTTTAAGATTTTCCCCAGGGTTCCCCCTACACCTACTCTACAATACAAAACAGGGGTTTCAAACTTTAAAAGCGTCCAGCGTCGCCAGTTTTGAACGAAGGTGCAGGAAATTTTGTACACATAAACTAGAGGTGATTTCCAACAAACATTCATCGTCCTTTATTAAAGTTGGACCCCAGGGTTCCCCTACACCTACAAAACAAAACAGGGGTTTCAAACTTTAAAAGCGTCCAGCGCCGCCAGTTTTGAGCGGACGTGCATGAAACTCTGTACATAAGCTAGAGGTAGTTTCCAACAAACGTTCATCGCCCTTTATTAAAGTTTGACCCCAGGGTTCCCCTACATCTACAAAACACAACAGGGGTTTTTAGCAAGGACTGTACATTACTACTATTTACCACAACCGTCAGAGTGTACGTCGCATGAATGGGGCGTTCAGTTAGATATATGTTCTAAAGAACTTAAGGTCGTATGGTTCAAATCGCGTTTTTAGCAAGTTTGAATCGCGTAATTATTTATTTATTTTTCATTTTTTCAAAAAAGTTCCCATCAAAAAGGAAAATTAACACCGAGGCCCTAAAGAACTTAAGGTCGTGAGTTCTAAACGCGTCTTGGTATTCAATTTCTTTTTTTCCTCAAATTATTTATTTATTCTAATCTTTGTACAAATTATCATTCTAAACGTTTTCTTTTTGTACAAATAAACATTCTTATTATTTAAAAATTTCTATCTC